TCTCCAACGCCAAAAAAAAACAAAACATTTGTAATTAAAGTTGGGCCGAAACCCCCTATGCGCCGCTTATCATTACGTCGGTCCAATAAACCGCTCTCGACCTAATCGCTTGTAAATCAGTTGGATCCGCGCGATACACGGGTGGATACTCTACACTTAGATCCTCTCTATGGCGATTATGATATTGGGTCGGTGCTAAATTTACAACCGATTCGATGGGCAATCGGTTAACACTACCAACTGCGATAACGTCGTCATATTCCCGACCGATCCAATCTGCAATGTCATCCAAGAGCCACTTGAACAGGCACGTACGCACTAGCTGGATCTTCCATTCAGTTCGGACAAACTCAAGATATCTTCAAAACATAGCGATTGTCCTATATTGATAATCCATGAAACCTACGTCTTTGTTGACATAACTTCATACCCTTTAATCTACCAATAAAAATTCCACTAATTACATATTTTCACTAATTGTCTGCATATTTATCTTTCCATCTTTTAATATAAACTAAACTAAAAGTCAATCGAAAAGTAATGTATTGCCAATGTCCATCCATTTTCGTATTCACAAAGATTTTTTATGTATATCTATCTATCTCTTTATCATCAGTCAATCTAACTACCTACAAAGCAATCAATATACTTCTCCATCTCCCGAAACCTAAAAGCTTTTCAAAAAGAAATCTCGAGAAAGTGAAATTGAGAACACTTTCACAACACTTCTCCCCGACTCTTTACAACTGCACTTAAGACATACCAGGCTTATCTTATTATTTATAGAAAAATCCCCCATTATATTTATTTCTTAATTACATTGTTGTAAATTCCGTCATATCAGCGATTCCAATTGGGCTGTGGTTACTTGTGATTTCCCATATCGCTCGATCACAGAGTACTCCTGTTTGGGGCCCCATCTCCATCTCCTTCGCGACATTGACACAGATCCCTGGTACCATATACCATACTATCAGCGACTGGGGATGAATGAATGATTGGATTTGAGTGGATAAGGTTACTGCGGGGCCTGGTCTAGCGACTTCAAACGTCCACCGAAGCGGGTCAATGCTGTACACGTCTGGTACTCGTATATTTTGTATACTCGTACTTGTGTTCCCCGGCGATAAGGCGCTTTATGTTAATGGATGTTTGATGTGGAGTGTTGTGCGTGCAATAGCATTGTTTCCACGGTTTATGGTGCCATGTGATGGCTTCATTGCTGCCTCAAATGGCGGCCATAAACGCTGATAAAGCATCGATGGATTAGCCACGAGCCGAACCGATTCTGGATATCACACTCAGATAAGGCCCATTCACAGACTGTCATTGGGGACTTTCCCAGTCGCTTCCTGAACCATTGAACATCGATCAGATCCAGATCCCGTTGTCCGAACATGGCCATGACCATGACTAAAGGCACTCGCTGCAATTACCATTCGATCCACATGGACATGACCATTTAAGCCCCACCAGACATCCAGACGCAGCATCGTCAGTAATCAGCATGTTGTTTATGGAGTGAAAAGCAACGCTCTCTGTCAAGTTGTCACAGCAATGTCGAGGCGATCCCCGAGAGAGCTATCTTTCCTGGACGGGCTATCTGTCTGCCACAGTCGTAAACCACGTAAACGCTCTACGGCCAGTGCTAATGCGGTTAAATTTATGCCGGGCCACCGAATTCACACGCCCACGGGTAAGGCAAAGGCCTGGCCAAATATAGAGCAGTCCTTATCTGTGGCGGAGGTGTCAAGCACAAGGCCGCCAGTCTCGGTCTCGGTTTCGGTTTACCTGTTCTGATGAAATGTCGCTGATCTAACAGATCACTGGCGCGTCTGTGTGGGCAGACGAAATGGAACGGCCGGCGGAGCAAGTACCCCTGCTGGGTGGGCTCTACCAACTTCCAAGCACTAGAGTACCAATTCCTAAACCTGGATTCTTCTCTCGTCCGCAGAAATACAGCCAGCGGCTGAGCCTGTGGCTGAGCCAGCTCCTTCTCCTGCAGCAGAGATCGCTCCTGCGAGTCCCTCGCCAAGAGCCTTGGTCGTAGAAGACTCCACCCCAAGTGCTGGTCTCGTGGAAGACTCCACCCCAAGTGCTGGACTCGTGGAAGACTCCACCCCAAGTGTTGCAACCGTAGAAGACTCCACCCCGATTGCAGCCTTCGCCGAAAGTCAACCCGCCGTCGAGAGCAATGGCAAGGCATTGGTGGAGGCCAAAAAGCTGCCCGAAATCGCTGCGGAACCCCAGAAGAATGGCAAGGAGCCGGAGAAGAATGGCAAGGAACTGCAGGAGGCCAATGACTTCAAGAACGTCTCCGAGGCTGAAGGCCAGCAGAAGGTAATCCCCATTGATCCTCCGCATCAAAGCACGAACTAACCAGGAGTCTACCCCCTCGATTGTTATTCTCAGAAACTGCCGTATCCCAAGTCCGTGTTCTTCATCATCAGTAACGAGTTCTGCGAGCGTTTCAACTACTACGGCATGCGAAGTGGGTGAATCCACAGGATTCCTTTACTGAATCTCTACTAATCTCGTCTGTATTCCCCACAGCTGTCCTGGTCCTCTATCTGAGTCGAGCCCTGCACTATTCTGATGACACCGCCACCGTGGTCTTCCATGTCTTCACCATGTTCGTGTACTTCCTCTGCGTTTTCGGCGCCATCATTTCGGACTCCTGGTTGGGAAAATTCAAGACGATCCTGTACTTATCGATGGTGTATATATGCGGATCGGTGCTGCTGACCCTGGGAGCGATTGGACCACTCAACCTACCCGTCGAGACGTTCACGATGCTGGGCCTGGCGCTTATTGCCCTCGGATCGGGTGGCATTAAGCCCTGTGTGTCAGCATTCGGCGGCGATCAGTTCAAGGTGCCGGAGCAGGTGAAGCAGATCACCTCGTTCTTCTCGCTCTTCTACTTCTCGATCAATGCCGGATCGCTGATCTCCACCACGGTGACCCCGATCCTGCGCGAGGATGTGTCCTGCTTCAACGACATCAACTGCTATCCCCTGGCCTTCGGAGTGCCCGCCGTTCTGATGATTGTCTCGGTGATCATCTTCGTTCTGGGACGATCTCTCTACAAGATGAAGCCGCCGGCCGGCAACATGGTGGTGCTGGTGAGCAGTACCATCTGGACTGCCATAACGACCAAGTGCAAGGAGAAGAAGACCAATCCCCGGGAGCACTGGCTGGACTATGCCGATAAGAAGTACGATCGCCAGTTGATCGACGATGTCAAGGTGCTGATGCGAGTGCTCTTCCTCTACCTGCCGCTCCCGGTCTTCTGGGCACTGTTCGATCAGCAAGGCTCCCGCTGGACCTTCCAGGCCACCCGGATGGACGGCGACATGGGCTCCTGGGACATCAAGCCCGACCAGCTGCAAGTGCTCAACCCGTTGCTCATCCTGCTCTTCATCCCCCTGTACGATGTGGCCTTCTATCCGGCCCTGCGGCTCGTGGGCATCAGCCGACCTCTGCAGAAGCTCACCATGGGCGGCATCCTGGCCGGCATTGCCTTCATCATTTCCGGTGTGGTGGAGCTCAACCTAGAGGTGAGTTGTACTAGGACTAAGAAGGGGGGTTGTCCTCTATAACTTGAGGTTCCCTAAGTTAGGAAGATATGGGTGGGTATCGTCGGGCTTCAACAGCCTGAAGATCGCCTTATTGAATAGCTTTGCGTATAAAATCATACTGTACTGTACTGTATTTGCACCTCCACCTGCACTTTCCCGTTCTCTCTCGTTGCACGCCTTGCTGTCGCTAGAAAACCTATCCCGACCTGCCCTACAGCCAGAACATCCAGCTGCGCATCTTCAACCCGGAGAACTGTGACTACACCTTCACGTCGAACCTAGCGGGAGTGGAGAGCGTGACGGTGCCCTCGCTGAATGCCTACACGAACAAGGACATCTACTTACCCAACTCGGTGAACCTGGTCTACTCCCTGACCAGCCAGAACGCGGCCTGCACCAACAATGTTGTCGGGGCCACGAAAACCCTGACCGAGAAGAAGGCCTGGTCGCTTTTCCTCAACCCGACAAATGCCACCACCACCCACTTCTGGGAGGAGGACTATGTGGACAAGCCCAGCGAGAGTCGTCCACTGATCCGCAACGTGGCCAACGTGCCGCAGGGGCAGACGATCCGTTGGCAAAGTTCGTCTAAGGGAGAGGTGGCCTATGAGGAACTGGCCGCCAAGACGAACCTAACGCGTGTGAACTCGGCGGTTTACGATGTCCTGGTGGGGGAAACCATAGTTGGACAATTTAATGTCCACACCGGCGGAGTGTACACCCTGCTTATCAGTGATGGGTATACGGCCAATCTGGTGACGGTGACCGAAGCCAACTCGATGAACATCCTCTGGCTGGTGCCGCAGTACGTGATCATGACGCTCGGGGAGGTGATGTTCTCGGTGACGGGTCTGGAGTTCTCCTACGCCCAGGCGCCGCCCAGCATGAAGAGTGTCCTGCAGGCCTGCTGGCTGCTGACGGTGGCCTTTGGCAACGTCATCGTGGTCATCATCGCCGAGGCCGCTCTGTTCGACTCGCAGGCCAGCGAGTTCTTCCTCTTCGCCGGCCTTATGTTCGCCGACATGCTGATCTTCATGGTGATGGCCTACTACTATGTGCCCAATGATCCCAACAAGCCGCTGGAGGAGGCCCAGCCGTTGACGGCGGGCGATGCCAAGGCCGAGATCCCGCCCCTCGAGGGCGGAGTCGAGAACAAGGGCAAGGACATCGACGAGTAGACCCGGACACACTCGATCCCATCCGAATCGTCCTGCTCGCTCTCCTGCGTTGTGTATTATATGTATTTGTATTTGTACTTGTAGATGTGTATATGTGAATCCTTAGGGGCCTCTGTCCATTCCCGAGCTAAGTGTAAGTGAAGCCCCGACCGGGCGTTGTTGCATATGAGAAGACATCCATCTAGTTAATCTAATAAAAGAAAACTACTGATATAACCCGCTGCGTGTTGTTACTCTACAGTCTATGTCTGGTCTGCCTTCTGTGTTTGTTTCTATCTGAACTGTGCTCTCTGTGCTCCGTCTCCACCATAACATCATTCTGGAGATTATGGTATCAACAATCATAGAAGAGTAGAGAACGGGCTTATCTCCAAAGGGGAAAAGTGAAGTACTTATGTAGGAGTACCTATACCTTCCATCCCTTGCAGCACACTTACCCACTGATCCCGAGTAGTGGAAATACCCAACTTCGGGTCTTCAGCGGCATCCCCGACTGCGAGTATCGCTTCAGTACGAACCTTGGAGCCCGTGAGAGCTTCACCTTGAAGGGTCTGGACTACTACTATTCGGGTAGTGTGGCCACCAGTAGCGATGGAACCTTCAAGTTAACCTACACCGTGGAGAGCCTGACCGAAGGTAAGTTACCACATAGGAAATCATCAGCCTCCTTCCCAGCTCTGTACCAAAATCAACACATTATTTTTGGCCAGTTCTTGGTATTATCCAGAACTTGTGAACATTTTTAAAACCAACTGATCTTGTTTGACACCACAGGGTAGTCGTTTCTTTAGAGATTAGTGTGTCACCACAGACAATGATCATTTCTAAGCTAATCTCATTAAAAGAACCAAGTGCTACCTCAGAAAGACAAAGAGATTTAGGATCACTAATCAAGCTGTCCAAAAGAATGACGTCGGTTGACTGGAAGTATCTCTTATGATTCCAAAGGTGTTTCACATTCTTGGGTAATAATGTTTATAGAAATGGTTATTATAATAAAGAATGCTTGCACAAGATAAAATTATTCACCTAATTTATAACTAATCTGAACATTTACCACAAAGAACGAACTTAAACTGCATTATAAATAATTCTTAAAAAGACAGACTAGAATAAATACATGTTTAGATTTCTAAAAGAAATTTAAGCGATATACAAATATATACATATATTATATAACCTTCTTTAAAATTGTTCAAGCAAACTAACTTTTATGTTAAGTTTTTCGAGAGTATAACAAAACAAGAGAGAACGCTATAGTCGACTGTCAATCCCTCGGCGAGGGAGGTGGAGATATGCAAAGCAGCTGTTCCTAAGATTGCACACTTTATTTGCTTATAACTGAACGAATTTAATGAATGGTCTGATTTGAATAATTTTTGGCATGTAGATATTGATAAAAACAACGTCTCATTTAAATCTTTACAAAATATTAAAAAATGAGGGCGTTAGATAGGTTTTAGCGTTAGAAGAATCTTCATGCCAAATCCCAACTTTCTAGCTTTTATAGTTTCCGAGATCTCAGCTTTCATTAGGACGGAGAGACTAAGGGACATGGCTAGATCGACTCAGTTAGTGATCCTGATCAAGAATATATATACTTTATTAAGTCGGAAACGCTTCCTTCTACCTGTTAGACACCATCCAACGTAGCTAGTACATCATTTTACTCCACGTGTAACGGGTATAAAAATTAAAATGTGTATTTGCATTTAATTTAGAACCCTCATATTTAAAGTGCTCTACAGAGTTGCATAGATAAGTTCTTTGTAATTTTGTAGTGGGGATTACAAACAGTTGATATATTATTATCGTTGATAATTACTTTCGTTACCTTAGGATGCACCACTCTGGAGGGCGGTACCCAGCAACTGTACGAGGCCACCGCCCACTCTCTTTTCCTGCGTCCTTCCCATGCGATCGTTAAGTACTGGTACGAGGACGAGGTCCAGAAGTCCAATCGCTCGTGGGCCTTTGTGCGGACCCTGGCGAATCTGTTGGCCACCACCCGGGTGGTTTGGACAGAGGATGGGGGGCAGGACGCGACCCTGGATCTGCCCGCCCGCAATCACGATCTCCACGAGCTGAACACGGGCAAGTATAGGGTCCAGGTGGCGGAACAGAATCTCACCCAGGTGGAGTTGCGTGCCGGCGGTGTATACGCCCTGCTGATTGGCCAGAGTCACGGCGCCTTCGTGTCCCGCGTGATCGAGGTCACCAACCCCAACTCGATGCACATGCTCTGGCTGGTGCCGCAGTACGTGGTGATGACCCTCGGCGAGGTTATGTTCTCGGTGACGGGCCTGGGGTTCTCCTACTCCCAGTCCCCGCCCAGCATGAAGAGTGTCCTGCAGGCCTGCTGGCTGCTCACGGTGGCCTTTGGCAACGTCATCGTGGTGGTGATCGCGGAACTCAAGTTCTTCGACTCCCAGGCCAGCGAGTTCTTCCTCTTCGCCGGCCTCATGTTCGTCGACATGCTGATCTTCATGTTCGTGGCCTACTACTATAAGCCATATGATGAGGTGGCGGCCCTCACCGAGAGGATCCGGGCCAGACGCCGTAAATGGGAGGATCCCGATCGGTTCAAGCGGGAATGAGAAGTTATTGAAAAACTACTTGTGTCCTTTTGTGTTGCTCCTTTTTGTGAACCCTAAATAAATATTCTTTAAAATGCTGAATTATAATGCATCCTTTAATAATAGGGAAAACTTTATATATATTCTATGATTTCATTTTAACTAATATTACTTTTAGTAAAAGTAATTAATTTACTGTTTTCTTTCAATTGATTTTACAACACTGTTCCGAAATATTCCGTAAATAAAGATTCGTGGTCATAGCTCCATAAAAATACCAAGAATCCAGAGATTTCGCCAACCAACATGCAATCCGGAGACAATTATAGATAATCAAGTTGGCCTTGGCAAACTGTCATGTCATTCGAAGCCAGTTTAAAAATATTTCATTTGACGATGGACGGCAGAAGGATTTACAAGCTGAACGAAAACAACTTATATATCCGTTCTGAACTGAAGTTCGTGAACTGTTATCTTAAAGACCTTCAATTAAAGGTGAAACCTATCCTAGACCTGGCTTACGGTGAGTTAAAACCCGAAATTAAAGGCAGCAATTTTGTGGTTTCATTCAATTAATATTACTTTAATTGAAAAGATATAAGCAACTTGAAAGTAATTAATATACAGCTTTCTTTCAACTAATTTTACAACACTGTTCCGAAATATTCACTAAATAAAGATTCGTGGTCATAGCTCCATAAAAATACCAAGAATCCAGAGATTTCGCCAACCAACCTGCAACCATGGGATAATTATAGATAATCAAGTTGGCCTTGGTAAACTGTCATGTCATTCGAAGCCAGTTTAAAAATATATTTCATTTGACGATGAACGGGAGAAGGATTTACAAGCTGAGCGAAAACAACTTCGATATCCGTTCTGAACTGAAGTTTGCGAACAGTTTTCTTAAAGACCTTCAATTGAAGGTGGATCCTATCCTAGACCTGGCTTACGGTGAGTTAAAACCCGAAATTAAAGGCAGCAATTTTGTGATTTCATTTAAATAATATTACTTTAAGTTAAAAGATATAAGCAACTTGAAAGTAATTAATATACTGTTTTCTTTCAATTCATTTTACAACACTGTTCCGAAATATTCAATAAATAAAGATTCGTGGTCATAGCTCCATAAAAATACCAAGAATCCAGAGATTTCGCCAACCAACATGCAATCCTGAGACAATTATAGATAATCAAGTTGGCCTTGGCAAACTGTCATGTCATTCGAAGCCAGTTTAAAAATATTTCATTTGACGATGGACGGCAGAAGGATTTACAAGCTGAACGAAAACAACTTAGATATCCGTTCTGAACTGAAGTTCGCGAACAGTTTTCTTAAAGACCTTCAATTAAAGGTGAAACCTATCCTAGACCTGGCTTACGGTGAGTTAAAACCCGAAATTAAAGGCAGCAATTTTGTGGTTTCATTCAATTAATATTACTTTAATTGAAAAGATATAAGCAACTTGAAAGTAATTAATATACAGCATTCTTTCAACTAATTTTACAACACTGTTCCGAAATATTCACTAAATAAAGATTCGTGGTCATAGCTCCTTAAAAATACCAAGAATCCAGAGATTTCGCCAACTAACCTGCAATCCTGAGATAATTATAGATAATCAAGTTGGCCTGGGCAAACTGTCATGTCATTCGAAGCCACTAGAAAAATACATTTCATTTGACGATGGACGGGAGAAGGATTTACAAGCTGAGCGAAAACAACCTGGATATCCGTTCTAAACTGAAGTTCGCGAACAGTTTTCTTAAAGACCTTCAATTGAAGGTGGATCCTATCCTAGACCTGGCTTACGGTGAGTTAAAACCCGAAATTAATGGCTGCAATTTTGTGAGTGACTTGCTTCAGTTTTGGCAAGGCAAACTGGTGTAGGAAAATGCTTCGTCACGCTGGCAAAGCGTTCCAACGTGAGTTTCGAATATCTGCAGATGGCGCAGCTGGAGCAGACCGACAAGCTGAGGAGGAGTCCTCGCCAGCAGGAGGAGGCTCCCAGCCAGGAGTGCGAGTCGGGGACTAATGCGGCGCCACTGTCAGTTGGACACGATAGCCGATCTCAAGCGCAAGGGCACTGAACTGGCTTAACCAAATCCGGGGGTCGAAGGGTCATCCAATCCAGTGGCAGCAGCTGCTGCCTTTCCAGGTCTTTACAACTCCAGCTTTAGTTTGATATCACCCACCGGATCTTTGCTTCCGGGCTCTAACGCTCTGCGTTCCGTTGGTCATCCGTAGTTCCCTACCATTCGACCGGTGAGGCCGCAATCCCTCGACCCATCATTAATGCCTCAGAGATGAATTCTTGAGCCCCTGGCACTTCCACCGGAAGTCCTTTGATTATAAGTTATAACTTATTCAGGGTCACCTATATAGTGTATAGGGTATCCTGTATACGGTACAACCCATAATTAAAGGTCTTTCGGTGGCAGTCCCACGAGCTGAAGAATTCATCCCTGAAGGTTTAACGATGGGTCGAAGGATTGAGGCCCACACCAGTAGGATGGAAGGGGCCTCTGGAGCAAGGCAACGCAGAGCCTTAAAGTCCGAAAGCAAAGATGTAGTGGGTGACATCGAACGAAAGCTAGAGTTGCGAAGACCCGAAACGGCAGTAGCCGGGGCCACTGGACTGGATGTCTTTCTGATCCTCGAGATCTTGCCCGGAAGCAAAGACCCCAAGGTTGACATCGAACTGGAGCTGGAGTTCCTAGGATCCGGAACGGCAGCAGCAGGTTCCACTGTTAGCCCACAATCACAATGATTTTGGATTTCTGTTAGTGATTTTCTCAATAAGATTAAATTTGTTGTCCTTATTTTTAAAAAACAATATAAATCGTGAACGAATACAATAAGAACACAAATGTTACAATAATAATATAAATCATTCATATTAAAAGACTTGTACAATTCTTCACTATACTTCTTATTATTCACTAATAGTTTTTAACTAATCTGCCTAACAGGCTTTTTTAGTTTTAAAGTTCTATTTTTTTTTAGTTTTTGCAAATGAACAAAAATATCTTCATTACATTTAACATTTTCATTTTACAGAGTGTGATACGAGTTTATTTAATTTTATATACATTTACCTTTATTATGTACACATATTGAAAGTAAAAATAAGGACTAGTTAAAAACATTGTATATGTTTGATTTTTCAATATTTTCAAGCCATAAACAAAGAAAATTAATGTAGCGACCCAAAATTTAAATTTGAATTCGCGGGGCGTTGCCAGACCAGGGGTGAATTTAACAGCGTGCTGTTAAGCGCACGCTGTCACCTGACATTCGTCCATTTTTAGGCACATTTGCGCTGACGTTTGGACGAGAAAAAAAAACAAGAAGAGGAAGAGCTCGAAATCATATGACTTGTCGATCGATAGAGAAAAAAGGTTGAATTTTCACCGTCGCTCCGTTTCGAACTGCACGCCCTTCGCCACACAATTCGCGCAACTTTCGGTCGAGCGAGAGCAGCCCAATAGAAAGGAATCCACCAATCCAGAAATCCACTGGAACTCGTCACCTTTTCAACTTCCAGCCAGCTCCTCTGCGTGTGTTTGTGTCATCAAGATGAACAGCTCGGGCTTTATGTTCAACATCGATAATGGATATCTGGAGGGTCTGTGCCGGGGCTTCAAGTGCGGCATCCTGAAGCAGGCCGACTACCTGAACCTGGTGCAGTGCGAGACCTTGGAGGGTAAGTACCGGGCCCCATTGGACACGAATACCCCGAAGACCCAATTTTCCCATACGCCCCTGGGTCACATGACCAGCGCGATAACAGAGGCGTGCGTGTGTGTATACATGCACTGCTGTTAATGTATCTCTGCGCCGGTGTGTGTAAGCTTGTCTTGTGATTTGTTGACGTTTTTCAACTGGTTTTCCATCCTGGATATTACAGGTCCAGGTTCTTCAGATCCAGGCACACGGTCAGCTGGAATGTTATCACATAGCAACCATAGAATCCATAGTTCGTTCGATTTCAATGTCCGTAAAACCTTTTTTTAATGAAACCACTTTTATTCATATCTAGTCACTTCTACTTGAATATAATCCAGTTCAAATGCAATATATGCTTGATTTTATTGTGTCAGTCAAGTTTTGTACAAAATCAGGGTGCCCTATCTCATTCTTGAATTAAACTTATAACATTATCTGCATTAACGACATTTAAAGAGTCTGTTTAACCTGCCCCTCTCAGAACTACCACAAAACCATCTTGTTTTATTGAAAATAGGGTGTGAAAATGGCATTATAACCGGCTTTTTTCCTTGACTTTACAGATCTCAAGCTGCATCTGCAGGGAACCGACTATGGCAGCTTCCTGGCCAACGAGCCCTCGCCCTTGTCGGTGTCCGTCATCGACGACAAGTTGCGCGAAAAGCTGGTCATCGAGTTCCAGCACATGCGGAACCACGCTGTGGAGCCGTTGTCCAACTTCCTGGACTTCATCACCTACGGCTACATGATCGACAACATCATCCTGCTGATCACCGGCACGCTGCACCAGCGACCCATCTCCGAGCTGATCCCCAAGTGCCACCCACTGGGCAGCTTCGAGCAGATGGAGGCCATCCATGTGGCGTCCACGCCCGCCGAGCTGTACAACGCCGTTCTGGTGGACACGCCCCTGGCGCCCTTCTTCGTCGACTGCATCTCCGAGCAGGATTTGGACGAGATGAACATTGAGATCATCCGTAACACCCTTTACAAGGCATATCTGGAGGCGTTCTACAACTTCTGCAAGAACATGGGCGGCGCCACCGCCGACGTCATGTGTGAGATTCTGGCTGTAAGTGGCTATTATTTCTCTTCCTGAGGGTTATCATTAGCAAGAAATTTAATACTAGAAGCCTTACAGTACCCACGCTATCGGTTATTACTTCTCACCTACCTTGTTTCCACCTCATGTCTATTTCACCTGCTCCATTTGGTTTTCTTTCAGTGAATAGCTAACTTTTGTACCTTTAGTATGAGTTCCAATCTCTCTTAATTTCTAGAAAATTAAGGGACGTTCCATTATCAATGTACAGATAAGGGCAGACCCTTATTCGTATAAATTGTACTGAAAGGGATTTAAGAAGTCTGCCATTATAACAACATTAGATGGTTCACTACTTTAGCTTAGTAATATTTGTTTATCTATTAACGGGGGTATTCTTTTAAAATTGAAATAATATGATGATAATCTTCCATTGTAGTTTGAGGCCGATCGTCGTGCGATCATCATCACCATTAACTCTTTCGGCACCGAGCTGTCCAAGGACGACCGTGCCAAGCTGTATCCCAACTGCGGCAAGATGTACCCCGACGGCCTGGCCGCTTTGGCTCGGGCTGACGACTACGAGCAGGTGAAGACCGTGGCCGAGTATTACGCAGAGTACGCCGCCCTGTTCGACGGATCCGGCAACAATCCCGGCGACAAGACGCTGGAGGACAAGTTCTTCGAGCACGAGGTGAAGCTGAACGTGTACGCCTTCTTGCAGCAGTTCCACTTCGGAGTCTTCTATGCGTACCTTAAGCTCAAGGAGCAGGAGTGCCGCAACATCGTCTGGATCGCTGAGTGCGTCGCCCAGAAGCACCGCGCAAAGATCGACAACTACATACCCATTTTCTAAGCGCGCTAGATGATCGCTAACCATTTGGCATACAAATAATATTATACGTTTTTTTTTCCTGCCTTTCGATATGCGTTTTTTTTTTGTTTGTCCCGTACCCTTGTTATTCAATTGTTTAATGTATATTATATTATGATACTGTGTCTGTATATTTGTATGTAGTTTTGTTGCGAGTATTATTGCCGGTCCAGGCAAATTTTTGTCAAGTGTTCAGACCCAGACCTAAAGATTTCTCCGATTCCGCCGCTCCTCCCCCGATTGTTGTCAGCATTGGCCACCTAGATAACTATATAATATGTATTCGGGAGACCCCTAGTGTCCCTTCAGGGCTTCGTGTTTGTGTACATATGTATAATTATCGAACGGAACGAAAACAGTTCAAATTGAATGTAGAGAAAGGAAAGCATCAGCACCATATGTTAACTACTATATAGAAAATGCATACTTATACAAAAACTACATATGTGAATGATAAATCAATTATTAAAACATGTTTTCAAACATTCCCTTAAACGGTTCTGTCTAATAACTTATTTATGTGCCTTCCTGATTTGCCCTGAACTTAATGGATCTAGGCTTTTAGTTCGCTTATAAAGAGTCTTGTAAAATGTAACCCGAATAGCCAATTCCCAGCTATATAGCTGTCACTGAAGCGATTGCCCCTGATACCAACTGTCTTGTTTGTTTTTGCATAATCTAAAAACATTTTTCTTCTAATTTTACTTTAATACGTATTTTCTCTTGTGTCTGAAGTCTTTTTGGATGCTTCATTAGCCAAAGCTCGAAATGTTAACCGATCGGACAAATAATCACGGGCCAATGTGAGTTACATAAAAATTGGATAAGACGTCAAACGAGTTATTGGATATCGAATGATTTTAAGTTGGTTGACGTAGAAAGCACGTCTAAACATATGCTTTAAAGCAGGATGAATATACGTTTTATTTTGTAAAAGTACAAATGAACTTAAAAAGAATAGGTATATAGTTTACTTTTTAATTTGGAGATCTTTGTATTTCATTATTGCGTGATAGTTTTGCATAAACTTTTAAAAATGCGAGATAGAATTTAGGTTTGTACTACCTTTGTATAACAGCGTACTTATATGTATTTTTGTAATGCCTGGTACTTTAACTTTCAGCTTTACGTACCTTAGCAGTGGTTAATCACTCTTAGTCAC